CAGAGCCTCACGCAGGGCTGGAACCCACCAACCGTGAGATCATGACCTGAGCTGAAGTCACTTAACCGACTGAGCCACCCAGGCGCCCCCAGATAGCCACCTTTGAAGATGGGCCATCAAAAGTTTAAGTCAGATACTATACCAAAGCCTGGCTCAGGCGGTGGAGCACGTGACTCTTGATCTCTGGGTCTTGAGTTGGAGCTCCACTTGGGGCATAGAGATTACTGGGGTGGGGGGGGGAGTGGAGGAGGGACACACCTGCTGGGGCTTACACTACACTTGCACTCACCCCACCCTTGACCTTCTCCCTGAGCCATCCCGCGGAACGTTCTGTCCCCCATCCAAGGTCCCCCAGCTGGGGCTGGCTGGCCGCCTATAAGAAGGGATCCCCGCTGGGGCCGGACTCCTGCCGCCATGGACCCCCGCCGCCCACTCACCTGGGCACTGGTGCTGCTGGGCACCGGTCTGGCGCTCGCGCTGGGCCCCGCGCCTGCTCCGGAAGCCCCAGAGAAGCTGTGCGGCCACCACTTGGTGCGCGCGCTGGTGCGGGTGTGTGGCGGCCCGCGCTGGTCCTCCGAAGACGGGCGGCGAGTGGCTGGCGGGGACCGTGAGTGGAGCCGCGCGACGATTGCGCTCCGGGGTTTCTAGCTGGGGCAGGTGCACGCGGGCGCTGGCGTCGGGGCGGGGGCAGGCGGGTGGTTTGCAACGCGCGTCCCGGGGGTCCACTTGCCCACCGGTGTGTGCAAATTCGTCAAGGATGCGTCCCCTGCCGGGCAGGAATCAGTGCGAGGCGAGCGCGGCGGAGTCTTACAAGCGCGCACGGTCAGAGCCTGCCTTATTTACAATCCCAGCGTTTTGATCTTCGCGATTTGGGGCGTTACTTGAGGTTTTTTTTTTTTTTTAATTTTTTTTAACGTTTATTTATTTTTGAGACAGAGAGAGACAGAGCATGAATGGGGGAGGGTCAGAGAGAGAGGGAGACACAGAATCCGAAACAGGCTCCAGGCTCTGAGCGGTCAGCCCAGAGCCCCACGCGGGGCTCGAACTCACGGACCGCGAGATCGTGACCCGAGCCGAAGTCGGCCGCTTAACCGACTGAGCCACCCAGGCGCCCCTAGGTTTTTTAAAAACAGTGCATTAAAAGAGGATTAATCTTCATTGTTGAGTGTTTAGGCTCCCGCTTGAATTGCGCACTGAGGCCAGCGCTCGCTCTTCTCATCCTACTGCGGGCCCTGGTGCGGAGGATGGAAAACAGATTTGTGTGCCCATGTGCGTCACACGTGTGTGTCCTGATGTGTGCATCTTTGCGACCCAGATGCAGGCGGGCACCCATAGGGAGAGACTGGGAAGGGGTACGAGGCTGTGTGCCCGTGTGTGCGTGTGTCCATGTGAGCCTGCACACAGGTGCACACGTCTATGTCACATGTCACCTCTGCTGTCTTCGGCTTTGTGAAGCGTCTGCGCGTCTGTGTGGTAGGTGGCTCGTGGAAACGTGCACAACCGGGGACCCGTGAGCGTGGCTCGAGAGTGCGCACACCTGGATGGGGGATTATGTCCGTGCTCGGTATACAGTAGGCACTTAACAGTCGCTCCCTTTCTAATTGTGCACGTCCTGAGTGTCTGGTGGGTCACGGCACAACGTGAGCGTGCAGCTGTCTGCACGTATTGGGGAGGGGTCCTCTAGGGTCCCCTGTCTTGCTGAATTCTGCTCCGTCCCCAGGTGAGCTGCTGCAGTGGCTGGAAGGACGACATCTCCACGGGCTGGCGGCCGATGGGGACCCCACGCTGGTTGTCGTGCCACAGCCCCTGCCCCAGGCCTCTCGCCGTCACCGCCCCCGCCGGGCAGCCGCCGCCAACCCTGCACATTTCTGCTGCCTCAGTGGCTGCACCCGGCAGCACCTGTTGACCCTGTGTCCTCACTGAACCCGCCTGGGTGTGGCCTCAGAGGATCCAGAGACCCCCCCCCCCCCC